TTTATGCTTATTGTGGATTCTACAATTATTATATTGCTGTTCATAATTGCTAACCTTATTGTTTATAATGTTAAAATTAAACTAAATGTACTTTGTGGAATAGTACTTATAATGCTAATATTATAAAATTTACTTAAGCAGGATGTTTGAGCTATGAATATTATGATAAAGAATCTTTAAGATGTTTAAATAGTCCATCATCTTGTTTAACATGTACATCAAAACAGATTGTAAAACGCAAAACTACTTATATGTAATCTAAATTAGTATGCATTTGCAAAATCAATCAATATGAAGATTCAAATTGATCTTTGAACTGTCCTATAGAAAGTAGTTAATGTTTAAGTTTAACTTATTGTATAGAATGTTTAAATAGTAATAAGAGATAATTATTAAATGGGTAATGTAATTATATTGATGGCAATTATCCAATTGTATCTAATCCTTATTCTAATGAGTGTTTAATTTGCAATAACATTATTAGTATAGAATAAATAGGATCAACTTGTTGATGTCAAACAGTGTCAGCTTTTATGGATATAAATAAAGCATATTTTCCTTGTCATTCATCATACTTAACTTGTTTTAGAAGAACAATAGAACATGCAATTCTTCTTAAAATAGATAATTAAAAGGGTTAAAATGTATATGTGCACCTGGCTATTATGAATCAAATAAAATTTGTACAAGTATAAATAATAATAAAAATTATAGATTGTCCATATAGAGAATATACATCCCTAAGTCAATACTATTAATAATGTAATAATAATTAAATAATACGGCATACAATAACTTGTAATTTATGTGATTCTGGATATCATATAGTATCTGGAGAATGTCAACCAATTTGCGGAGATTTATAATATAAATATAAGGATATGAATAATGTGAAGATAGTAATACAGATCTTAATGATTTATGCTTTAATTGTTAATTCTAATGTTCAAGTCATTGTTTGACTTGTGATTAATCAACTAATTTACCTTGCCCTAATGTTTGTGGAGATGGAATTATTACAGGAATTGAAGAATGTGAAGATGGAAATACTATATAATATGATGGAATGGTTGGTTTATTGATATAACAGTTTCTGCTTGGTAATGTAAGGAATTATGTGGAGATTTAATGATAGTTGTAAGTGATTAATTCAAAGATGGCAATCTTCAAGATACAGACGGTTGTAAGGATTGTAAATATTTCTGTAGAATTGGTTGTTCTTCTTGTGATTACAATATTCATAAATGCTTAAGTTGTGAATTGTCTGGCTTTGTTCCTAAAGATTACTATTGTGATAATGTATGTGGAGATGGTTTAGTTGTAATAGATCTTTCTGGGATTCAGAGGAATGTGATGATCGTAATACTAATAATAATGATGGTAGTAATAACATTTGCTAATTTTAATGTTAAACATCATATGTTAGTTGTATATATGAAAGATGCATAATATGCGCAGATGGATATTTGCTTACTAATGAAAAAATATGTATATCAATATTTGTGGAGATTTTAAGATAGTACTTGGTGAACAATGCGATAATTCACCACATAAAGGTTGTATAAATTGCTAAATAAAATGTCAAAGTTCTTGATTGATTGTGATACTACTGGCTTGGTTGTCTAAAATATAGGACTGGTTACAATAATGTTGATTATATTTGTTAATCAATTTGCGGAGATTAAATAGTAGCATATGATAAACAATAAGATAATGGTAATTTCATAATTGGAAATGGCTGTCAATTCTGTTAATATAGTTATTAGAATTCATGCCTTAATTGTATTTAATGATTCTGTTATGATTATAAAGAAGGTTTTGAATTAATATAATCTAAAATGTTATACTAAATGTGGAGATGGAATATAAAATATAAAGAATAATGTGAAATGATCAAGTCCTTGTGTATTTATCAGACTTGTAAGTCTTGTGTATTTACATGTGATTTGAATTGCCAATTGTGTTGAATTCATAGATATTACTGTAAGATCATAATTGGCTAGAGTTATTTACTATCAACGTTTAAAATAATAATTAATTGTAAAAGTTCAATTTAAAAGAAAAATCATTGAGCTTTTGTCAATATTAACTTAAATTATTGTTTAAATCTCCAGATTTATATTGTAGTAATTGTTTTGAGTATTGTGCAACTTGTAATGAAAACAATTGCATTAATTGTCAAAGTGGCTATTATTTAGATGACAACTTTTCTTATATTTCCTCTTGTGGAGATTGAATACTTGCACATGATGAGAAATGTGAAATTGATGATCAAAATTGTTTAAGTTGCACTTTTGAAGTTTCAAATTAATGTGAATTATATTTGAAGATCATTGCTATAGATGTGAACATGGTTTTTATATTAATTAATATACTAATATCTGTGAATCTAAGTGTGGAGATGGAATAATAACATATGATGAAGACTGTGAGGATAACAATAATATAGAATATGATGGTTGTTATTATTGTAAATATTCTTGTAAGTAATAATCTTTAAATTGCATAAAAGGAGTTTGTTTAAGAATGTAATAAAAACTACTACTTTGGGATGGATTTTGTTATGGGGAAGAGAATGAAATTGGTTAATTTCCTGAATGCAAAGAGAATATTTATCGATAATGCTTAATGTGCTAGAAAGATAATAATTTAAATGAATATGGGGATTTTATTTCTGAATGTTTGGAAAGTTGTGATCAATGTTGTGATGGCTAATGTTTTTAATGTATTGAACTTTATGAGAATATATGCATTTTACCCTAGTAGTGTTAAACAGGTTTAAAATTTAATTAAGAAAATAAATTTGTGAATCTTTATGATATGATGGATTTATTAATGGATGTGAAGGATGCAATGATTAAAATATGGAGTAATTTGATGGTTGCTATTAGTGTAAATATAAGTGTGAGATAAGTGCATTTAATGTATTTATGTTAAATATTTTTAATGTTTATGTTTAAGTAATTATGAATTAGATTAATTAAATAATTCATGTAAATCTATAAAACTTTAGCTAACAATTTAAGAGTAACCTAACTGTAAATTGTTTTTAGAATAGCTTATGTATTTTTTGTTAAGTTGGATATCAGATTTGATTACTAACACTTGTATAATTGAGTAAAATCAATAAATGCTCTTGGAATAGTAAATAATTTTCTTTTCACAATGTTTAGAATATGAATTTGGATATTATGGAAATAAATTTTTGCCTAAGTTTGGTGATGGCATATTAGTTTAATAAGAAGAATGCAACGATGCCAATTTATATGAAACAGATTCTTGTTTAAATTGTAAATATATGTCCTTAAAATTGCAATTAATGTGCTTATGGAATTTGTATTCATTTTTTTTTGGATCTATTTGGATATTGTAAGTAATTCATGTGATTCAGTTTGTGGTGATAATATGCTAGCAAATGATGAAGCTTGTGATGACGATAATGAATAGAGATATGATGGATGTTTCTAATGTAACTCTTAATGTCAGATAGAATGTCTACATTGCGAATTTGGAAAGTGTATAGAATGATAATCTCCTTTAGTGGCAGTATAATCAAAAAGTTATTCGTGAAGAATTAAACTTATGTGATAGTTCAATAGGATTTTATCAAGATGATTGTGGTAGTAATTGTCTGCCATTATATGTTGTTGCAGGCAATGAATAGTGCGAAGATTAGAATAATATTCCTTATGATGGATGCTATGAATGCTAAATTTAATGTTAAATAGTTTTATTACTTTATAGAAATTCTTGTATTCCTAATTGTGGAGATGGATTTGTAATAAATGATTATGAAGATTGTGATGATTAAAAAGCTTAACCATATGATGGATGTTTTGAATGCTAATTTTAATGTACAATGAATTGTTTAATCTGCTCTAAAGGAACATGTCTTTAATCTGATATAGATTATTCCTTCGAGAATAATAAATGTTTGTTAAAAAAATAAAATGATGATCCTAATTCTACCATTTTTAAATAATCTTAAAAAAATAATGACACAATTTTAGATAGTTAAAATTCATAATTGGAGCTATTAAATGAAAATAAGATATGCTAACAATCTGAATTTGTATACTCTCAAAAATCCTCTATAAAACTGACTTTTAAAAATTAATCCTTTACTTTATAACATGTTGAAATTACATTTGAGCAATACAAGGCCAGCAATTGTTTAACATAAGTATAAGTGACTTGGCTCCCTAGAGTTATAATATCATAGTCAATTCAATTTAAATGATATGATTAAATCTTTAATATTTTAGTTTTTAATTTTTTAATACAAATAACTCAAATAATTAAACAATCATTAATCCTAATCACTAAAAATAATATCAAAATAACTTAAATCAATATTTGAAAATGTTTAAGAATCAAATGATGCATTTATGATTGGAGCAATTTCTAGATGTTTTTTTTCTTTTCTTTCTGGTGATAGTTAGATTATTGTAGAAACACTAAATCTTTTATAATATCAACCATTCCTAAGATTTATAAATGTAGACTATCCTGAGAAGCTCTAAATATATTTTTAAGCATATGAAGTACTATAGAATGTAATACTTTATACATCTGTAACATATTATTTTCAAGTTTTTGAAATTGAAGATTATTAAAATATAATAACAGGATAAAAAATAACTTGATCTAAGTGGAAAATTAAAGAATATAATGTATACTCATGTGATCTTTCATAATTGTATTTAATCTTGTATATATTTAAAAAAATAACTCAAGTATAGATGCTGAACTTTTTAAGAATATTCTACCACAATTTATTTAATTTTTAGGATTTGTA